TTTTAATAATTTATCAGATCTCTATTTACCTCTGCAACAATGGCAGTCATTTCCTTATTTGTGTATTCATTCATTCGTATGATTATTCAGATATTAGCTGGTGATTTCAACAATTGCATATTGCGAATGTAAATACTTTCAATTGCATTTTTTCCAGGATATTTTTCTCATGCTGTGAAAATTCATGAATTTAAAAAAATGCGAATTCGTTTTTTTTCTGACACTTCATTTTGAATATGTAAATTTTATAACTATTAATATTCCAAACATAAAAACGACAGGACTGGTAACATATTTAAATGACTGTGCAATTGCGACAGGTATAATGCAAATAGTGATAATAGTTTTGATAAAGATCATAATAATTAGGATAATGAAAGTAGTAATGATTATTATATCAATGATAATGATGATAATAAAAATATGCTAACACTAATGAAAATTACCATCATGGTGATAAGACTAATAATTATAATAATGATATGATAAAAAATAGTAATGAAAACGATAATAATGATAAGGATAATAGTGATAATAATGATAATGATGATAAGGATAATGGAGAAGATCATGATGATGGTAATAATGTTAATGTTAATGTTAATGATAGTAATAATAGTAATAGTAATGATAATGACAATGATAATGACCAGAATGATAATAAAGATGATCATTTGATTATATATCATCATGATCACGATAACGATAACGATTGCGATTAGCATTGAGGTAACGATAAGGATATCGATAATGATGATGATGATGATGATGATGATGACTCTGGCGATGATGATAGCAATAGTAATAATGGTGATAAAAGAACAAAAACAACAGTAAAAAAAACACCACATTCATTATCCTTCCTTCATGGGAATCCTATTATTAAATCAAGACATGTCTATTACCTAAATGCACATGCTATTACTTATCATTTTCTTAGGAATCATTTAAGTAAGTATATTCATATTCCAGAACCAACAGAACTTCATAAACAGAAAGATTTAACATATGCTTTAGGTCATATGCAGAAGTAAGGTCAAGGGGTCTTATTTTTATGTGTATTTAAGTTTAATTTCCTGTATTCGTTTCCGGCGTCCTTGGGTGTACGTACTGAGCATGGAAGGCAAGGGAGAAAGTATGTTCATGTTATAAAATTCGCAGCTTTTCGAGTCTTTGTTCTTATTTGATGGGGTTATATAGTATCTATTCTGTACGAGTGATATGATATGAGTATATGAGAAGGAATCTATGTATATGGATAGTATATGGAAGTTAATATACGGACGAGTATGCACTATAAATGAATTATTCTTCGCATCCTGTATCCTCAAACACACACGAACGGAACGAACGCACAACATCCCCGGAAATGTACGTGTGTGAGTGTGATTTTCAGTCCAGTTGAGGCTGTGCCGTCGCCACCTCGTCCAA